ACAATGTATATATATATTCTACAATGTGAATACAAGCAATTTGAAGAGACAAAGAGAAAAAGATTATGGTAAAAAATAAAGTCTGTACGTCCGTATGGACGTAGACCAATGTGCTACGCTCTCAAAAGCCTGTTTATAGGTCTTGGGGAGTACTACTGCCTAATAAATTACATATTATGTAAAAACACATGTATATAGCTTTTTGTGGCTATCAGATGGTCTAACATTTTTTTCTCCATAGCTCAACCAGTGGTCCAGGCTCCCACCAACCTCCAGTTCACATCTTTAACTCCCACCTCCATCTCCTTCACCTGGCAGCCACCTGCCACACACATCACAGGATATTACATCACCTACGAGGAGTCCGGAGGACGACCACGGGAGCTCATCCCAAGACCCCACGCCGGCCAAACTTACGCCACCATATCTGGTATGCGCTTGTCAGCTGGTCCATTTTCACTACAAACAGTTGATATTGTATATCTTTCATTTGTTTGCTTATTTAATTTGACTATAGTGCTTTTTATTTTTAATTTCCATTTTGTTTGGGTTTTAAATCCACAGGCTCCACGAATATATCAACCTCTTACATGTAATCATGAGTCAGTTGCAACCGATGCCAACTGTGTGATAATTATTCCTCTCCTCAGGCCTGAGACCAGCCACAGAGTACATCATCAAGATCATCGCCATCCAGAACACACAGAGGAGCACACCTCTGGTCGGAAAAATCAGGACTAGTGAGTATTCTGAGACTTCAGCACTATACAGTGACAGATGCGATAATAAAAATGATCATGTATTAAAGTGCCGAAATTCCAATGAGCTGTGGGTAAACGTCCTATAATATGTTGAGGTTTGAATGGCAGCTTTAATCTGCTCAGCTGAACCCAATTTGCTGTTACAGCTCAGAGGCCTTGAGATAAACTGTGCAGTGAATCAGCATTAGGCTCCTAAAACAGTAATACCAGTTTTTATTTTGAATGCCTCCAGAAATGCCATTCAAAATACCTTGTGTGTTCGTAATACTGCATTAAGACACACTTTGCCGTGAAGTAGTACTCAAACGATGCTGCTTATACATCGCCCCCTGTTGGCTGAGATATGTTACTACAGCTGCGCTTTACCTGCTGCCTCATCTAACCTGCTTGCTTCCCTAACCCCTTCTCTCCCGCCCAGACCCAGACTCCTTGCTTCCCCTGCCTCTGCCCCACCGCCCTGGAGGTGACAGGCTGGATGTGCCTGAAACTGAATTGGACAACACAGTCCAGGTAGTGGGCAACGGTGGCCAGGATGGGAATAGTGGTCAGAGCCAGCATGTGGAGTACACAGAGTACAACAACAATGGAGACAACAGATATGATGGGAGCAGTGGCAGCCCACTGTCTCCCTATGGGCAAGTTCGTGAGCCCCTGGTGTTTTTACCCCTTCCTGATGCAGAGGGCCGCAGACTGCCCATCCTGAAGCTGAATGTGCCTGCTGGCTCCACGTTTGGTAACGAGACGGGAGTGCCACAGGAGGCTCAAACCAAAACCTCCATCTCCTGGAAGCCTTACAGCCAGAGCAATGCCTACCTGGTGTCCTGCGAGCCTCTCACACACTTAAATGAGAAGATGTTCCAGGTAAGAGATGAGGGCCGAGGCTTCCAGCCCAGTCCATCATGCTGTCTGAATGTCATATATAATGAAATCTCTTATTCCATGAGCACAAACCTTTTCTCTCTCTACCTGTCCAGGTCCGCCTGCCGGGCACAGCCACCACAGCTACTCTGATAGGACTCACCCCTGGAGCGAACTATAATGTGATCGTAGAGGCTCTGTTGGGGGCGCTCAAACACAAGATTCTGGAGCAGGTCATCACTGCTGGAAACACAAGTAAGCATCCTACAGCAACTACTGTGTCTAAACTAGGCTAGATTTATTCAAAATTCAGTGTAAAGCAACTCCTGCTACTTAACTTGGGGCACTTGTGTGAAGAAGAATGGTATCAGGGGCAGATGTGAATCACCACAGTTGTTTGGAGGCTACGCCTTTTTTAAACTCCCTGTAAAAGAAAGCGATTGGTGACTTCATGAGCATCTCAAGCTAAATTATAGTTGAGTGGATACCATAAATTCACAAATAGTGGGCATGGCTTTTATTTACCTCAATGGCCTTTTTATAGTAGAAAACTTTTTTCCTGTTCCCTGGTTAATATAACCTACTGAGCGTCCTCCACTTTTACATGTAATATTGACTATAGTATATTACTACTATAGTATAATATACATTTCAAAACATTAATTCCATTAGTTCATATTCACCACTCATCTTCTCTAATAGAACTTTTTTTATTTAGTAAATAATTCCAGTTGCATTTAAGAAAAATTAGTACTGACTGAGTGCTTGCTCTTTAGCTTACCCTAAACCTTTTACATTTTAGTTCATCATCTTGGAGATATGATAGTGATGAGACATATCATTGATAAGTAACTAAATAAAAACCATCATGGCCCCCAAGTTCATTCAGATTAGATTCAATTAGTAAATAGTGGTTTACACAAATCTTTTTCCCTCCCCTTGCTTCAGTCCCAGAGGGAGACCCCTCCACTAAGGACTCTTGTTATGATGCCTTTACTGCAACCTACCATGATGTTGGTGGTGAATGGGAGCGGATGTCTGAGACAGGCTTCAAGCTGTGGTGCAGGTGTCTGGGCCTGGGCAGTGGCCACTTCAGATGTGATTCATCAAGTAAGTTTTCGGGGTCTAGTAAGTTTTTTAAGCCTATTTGGAGTATACTTCACTTGCTCTAACTATTATTTTGTCCATCATTAGAGTGGTGCCATGACAATGGCAACAACTACCGCATTGGAGAGAAGTGGGACCGCCGTGCAGAAAATGGTCACTTGATGAGCTGCACTTGCTTGGGAAATGGCAAAGGAGAGTTCAAGTGTGAACCACGTAAGACCACTTAAGACTCAAGGAAATATTCTTCAGTATAACTGTTTCAACAGTGTGTGAAGGAGATGCATGTGAATTTTAACATATATGTGTGCCCACACAGATGATTCAGTGTGCTACGATGATGGCAAAGCTTATCAGGTGGGAAACCAGTGGCAGAAGGAGTACCTTGGTGCTATCTGCACCTGCACCTGCTTTGGAGGACAGCAGGTACGAAACCTGAGCCTCCCGTGGCTTTGTGTCTGATGTTTAGTGTCATCATAAGTGAAATGAAGCATGTTTAATAAATGTACTTGTGTATGTTTGGTCTTATCAGGGCTGGCGTTGTGAGAACTGCCGCAGACCAGGTACTGATGTTGATGCCAGTCTGTTGCAGCCTGTTAGATATGGAGACAACACACTATTCAAGGTAAGCAGAATATAATTATTTTTTTTTAATCTAATGAAAATATGGGATGTTTGTACCTGAGCATGTGATCTCACCTCATCAAATCTTCCTCCAGAAAATTCATTGCCCCATTGAGTGCCTCCGACCCGACCTGCTGGCAGACGCACACGTTCCTCCAAATCCTCGAGAGTAAAGGATCGGTCATTTGACATCTGCTTTGCTCCCTCACCGCTGCACTGTCTCACCCTGTAGAAGCCATGCTGTCTGTGACTGAACTGAACTAAATGCCTTATCACTTTCTGACACGTTTAGCTAAAGATGTTAAACTTACCTGCTGCCTGATCAAAATGATCCTCTTCTAAAGCCAGTCTTTTCACTGTTGACTCAAGTCTCTAAATTCATGCTCGATTGGTAGATGCAGACTCCTGCCATTATCATTTTCTATTATGTTGGACATTTCCCTCCACGTACTTGTGTGAACCTCAATGGAAGTTATTTAGGACTTGTCACCAGTCAGATTAGCAAATTGGCATGTTTTTTCATTTAACTATTTAGAAAAAAAATCCTATCAATCAAAGAGCAGAAACTGTCAGAAAGTAAGCACTGTGTTAAAGAATGTCAATGTAGTAGTTATTAACAAATGTTTGCCCATAAAAATGTGCTTTTCTTTCCTGTAGCCCTTCTTCTGTTACTGAGGGGTCGCACTGTGTGATTGACACATTCTGAACTCTAATGTCTTTTTACTAATTTATCCCTTTAATCTCAACGTGCGAATGTGTGAACTGGGATGTGAGAATTTGAACTGTTCTATTTTTGTACTTTGTTGTCCGTGCCAAAGTTGTTTCTACCTTTGACAATAAGAGGTCCCTTATTTTAATAAAGCTGGAGAGATCCTGAAACCGAATCACAATATGACGTTTTTTTCATTTTTTGTAATTTGGCTGGTTGCTGAGGGGCTCCCTTCATTTCCATCTTTCTACAATCCACTCTCAAAAGGCCCAAAAAGACGAAGAAAAAAAAAAAGATGAGATAAAGGGTCTTAAAATACTCGAATATATAGTAAATGGACTAAATTAGATCAGTAAAAAAAAAAAAAAGTTAGCTCCAAGCTGAAGCCATTGTTAGGAAATATAAATTTGATACAGTTAAAATGGGATCGTCTAACATGACTTGCCAGTGGCTCTGTGAAGCTATACTTAAGCACAGGGGTGCTTTGAGCTAAATGCTAATGTTAGCATGCAAACATAATCACAATGCCAATATGCTGATGTTTAGTAGGTATACTGTTATATTAGTTTAGCATGTTAGCATGCCAACATTTGCTGGATGATTATGCTGAATGAAAAGACAAAAAGGCCATCAGAGTGATTAACATTCTTCCTGTGGGGGACATGAAATGATCGAACTAAAGTTCATGGCAATCCACCCAAAAAAACGTAGATATTTCACTCAATTCAAAAAATGTCAACCTGCTGGTGGCGTTAAAAAGAATGTCAGAGGAGCCCCAAAGTCAGTAGGCTTCATCCTCTGGGAACCAAGTACAACATTTCACAGCAGTCCATCAATTGGTTGTTGAGATATTTAACTCTGGACCAAAGTAGTGGACTGAGAACCAACATGGTCATCTCCCACTGCTAACATGGCTAAAAAAAACCAGACAAAATACTCATGAATGGTCTTCAACAGTTTATTTCACACCCCAACATGACTGACCTAGAATAAACATTAACAGTTACTGTATTTCTCTCCATGTTAGCACCACAAGTCAGGAATGCAATTAATTTGTTACAAAACAGTGCGTTTCTTTTTACTTCTACATATCAGAATGGTGAGAGCAGGAATGTTTTGAATATCAGCAATGTTAGAAAAAGATTTTGACTCTGTAATAATGCTAAACTGTGTGAGGGGAGTTTAAAACACCTGGACAAGTGTTGAGGTGTTCAGTGGTGGAAGAGCCGCAGGTTGGTGTGCACCAGAGTGATGCCCTGCTCATTACAGGCATTTATCACAACCTTGTCAGCAGCAGAGCCCGCTGGAGCTGCGATGTACGCAACACCACTCTACAGACGGACACACAGAGGAAAGAAACGTTAGTAAAGATGGTTGGAAAGCTTGTCAGTACACTGTCTTCAGAGTTAATAGAGTTTCCAAACTAGTAACAATATGTTAGCAGGTGTCTGCAGGCCATTCCCATGCAGTTTCTTAAAAGTGCATACAATATGAACCCACGCTTTCATGAAATGTGTGTTATATTTACCCGTTTGGCACGGTCTATGTTGTCTCTGAAGGGGAAGAAGGCGTCAGAGCTGACAGCCACGGCCTTCAGGGAGCTGATCCAGTTTTTCTTTTCAGTCTCTGACAGAAGCTCAGGCACCTCTTCATACATGGACTTCCAAACTTCCAAGTCTGGACCCTATCAACACAAAATACCCACGCTTTTCATTTAATTTCAATGTCTCAAACTTGGCACAACACTGACATCAGACATAACAATGCACACAGGTGGACTGTGTGTGATTGAGGCCTACTGTCGCCACAATTTTAACTGATCTTTCCAAGTGAAGAAATTAAGTGAAATCTAATGTAGCCACAGCTGTGTTTGGAGTGGTAGCTAACATTATTATATATTTATAAATACTGTATGAACTGGTTTATAGAATAAACAAAGATGATCTGCTGCTAGACATGCTAGCCCTAGGCCTGCACTGTGGCATTGTATTTGTGTCTCAATCCAAAGTCTGCAATGGGACAGAACAGATGTTTGTTGAATTAAAATATTCTTTATAATTCCTCAACAAGATGCAATTTATGTGCTTGTAAATTTTCTGTATTTAAAAATATCCCATCACGCCCGATCTATAACAGGACAACTTAACTACTGCCTTTATGTTACGAGTTGTTTCCCCCTTACCTCTCCAATGGTGTCGCTGACGTACTGGTCGATTGCGTTGGCCATTTCCGCTCGCTTCACACCGCCACGAAACTTCATGTTAAGGACACCAGGGTGATGTCTCAGCCACCAGTTATCAGCTTTGTCACCTGCCAGTCGTGTGCAGTGGATACGAGATTGCTGACCCGCACCAATACCAATAACCTGTAATACAGACAAAAAAAAAATATTTGAGAAAAACTTACAGCTCATCCAGATTCTCTTCTCCTGTTTTTACCTGTTCTTACCTGTCCGTCTTTAGCATAGCAGACAGAGTTGGACTGAGTGTATTTGACGGCGATGGTGGCCACAATGAGGTCACGCACAGCGTCCTCAGAGAGCTTGTGGACACAGACAATCAAAAGGGTGGATTACTTCAGGTAAGTTTGTCCCATTAATAAAAGAATGATTCAAAATGACAGGATGAGCCAGAAATACAATATGAAGGTAAATACTCACAGAGCCCTCAGAAACGACGTTGCTGAAGAATTCCTTATCGATAAGCCCTCCGTTCCTCTTTTGTTTGAGATAGAGACCAAACAACACTCTTACCTCAGTCTCATCAGGCTCATAGTCTGGATCCATCTGGGACACAGGCACGCATTGTTAATCAAACTGAAAATTTGACTTCGTTCTGATTCTAAATCAACCTAACCTACAAATCTCTCACCTGAAGCACACAGTAGTTGCCATTCTTCTTTTTGGAGAGGATCTTGAGCGCCTCCTCATCATAACCAGGAGCAATGATACCATCTGACACCTGAGAGCAATCAAATTCAATCCTTGTAAAGCAGAACAAAAACCCTTCTCATCTGCATTTGTTCTTTGACACACTGCTTTTACCTCTCTTGATATAATCTTGGCGGTGGGAACGTCGCACACATCTGACACAGCGATGAAGTCTCCAAAAGAAGACATCCTGTCAGAACCTGGGAATGTCGAACGAGTTAATACAATTGAAAGAAAAAAAAAAAAACTCCAGGCTACCTGCTATATAATTCACTGTTCCTGACCTCTTGCCCTGGCGTAGGCTGTGGCCAATGGGGTGAGATCCTTCAGCATGTCATGCACCATGCACACTTTGGCTTCCTCCTCAGTCAGAGGAACTCCTACTGCAGCTCCTTCAGTAGAAAGATGAAAAGAGTCATTTTCACATTTAAAAAAGGCACTTAATCCCAAGCCCACATTTATACTGTTAAGTGTGTGTCTGCATGTCTCTTTTGGTCTTACCTGCAGGGCTGACATGTTTGAAGGAGGTGGCAGCAGCCATGCCGAGGGCGCTCTTTAACTCTCTGACCAGCTGCCAGGCGTTCAGAGCATCACACAGGTTGATAAAGCCAGGGGAACCGTTGACCACTGAGAGGGGGAACAGAAAAAAGCTAAGCTACATGGCTGATGGCTGTAGCTTTATATTTAAGCCATCAATGTGAGAGTGGTATAAATCTTCTCATTTAACACCAACGTTCTGCCAGTGAGCAAATAAGTGTATTAACCAAAATGTTGAGCTACTCTTTTTAAAGAAAAATCACTATACAATGCCAACACAGACACATTTTAGGTATGCTGGGACATTTGTTATGCAATGTGTGTCTACCTTTGAGGGGGAGCGCTGGGCGCAGGGTGTAGAGCTGGGCGGGTGCTTGGTGAGGGTTCATGCCATATCGCAGAGGCAGCTGGGAAACACCACGACTGTACTGTCCACGAAAGTAGTCCGATATGGCCTCATCATACTGTGCTGTGTGCGTGAAAGCCTGAAGGGCAAAGAACATAAAACATGAGACGAACCACATTAATACACCCTCTTCTAATGTGTACCAAAGAGCCAGGGTTAAAAACCTCAAAGCACTTACAACAACAATTTGGAGTTTAATACAGGACCTGCATTATTTATGTAGGCACCAACCCAAAGCAACACAATGTCAGAGATAAAACAGATCTATCTAACTCAATGATTAGTTTAGTCTGGCTACAAGAATAAAGTTCACAGGTCATCAAATGTTAAACTCTGCAAGCTAAACACATGTTTCAACACTTGTGATAAAAAGCCTACACTGGACTTTGTTTAGAGCTGAGGGTCAGTGTGGGTCAGTGCAAGACAAACAACAAAAACAGAACAACCAGGATTCTGAAAAAGACACAATTTGGTGACTATGTATGAGAATTACCTAAACTGGGTAACAAGATCAAAATATTCATTACATTAACTGATTTGTGCTTCAGGAACCTCCTGGACACTTTGTAAGTTTCATAAGAATCTAACAGCATGTGGTTCCTATTATGCAACTGTCATTTTAAGACTGAGGCCTGCTCATTGAAAAAGCCAAAAGGTATGATTCACCTCTTATTTAAATGTTTTTTTGGAACAAGCCTCAACAGTGACGGGGGCGGGCTTAACGGATGTTTGAGGTACACGTGATAAGAAGGTAAGGCTGGCAGTAACACAGTTTCAGGCCTTCTGAATGTAAAATGTTCAACTCAGGACTGTGACATATCAGGAGTCATCTGATCCTTTTTTAATGTCCCAAACTTATTATTGTTGCTATACTTACATGGGGGTATCAACAGATTTAAAAGAGTAGATTTTAAGACTGTATGAATCAAATTCAGTTCATATACTTGCAAGATGAAATGATAGGGAAAAGTAAAAATAGGTCATGTTACTTTGAGCGCCAGGGTCTTGCGTGTTTCCAGAGTCGTATCTTTGTCTCCTGAACTCTCCATCTCCTTGGCAACCAGCGAATAGTCAGCAGGGTCACACACAATGGTGACCCGAGCGTGATTCTTGGCTGCTGCTCTCAACAGAGTTACGCCACCTGGGCGGGAAGACAAAAAGAGAAAATGTAGTTATTAATGCAATGTGACACTGATCTTACCTTGTGCAGTTATTAATCAAGTTTAATTTAATGATCTGAAGCTATATGCACACAATCTCATCTGCACAACTCACCAATATCTATCTGCTCCACAGCATCTTCAACGGTCACATCTGGGTTACAGACGGTCTTCACAAATGGGTAGAGGTTGCACACCACCACTCTAAAAGAGTGCGCAGAAAGTATTGTGAACTTTTAGGCCCATCATTCAAACAATTCCACATCTTGAGTTTAACGACGCAGCTGCAACGGCTACTTGTAATTTTAGCTCTCAGTGTGTTCAACTGTTCATGCTCATGGTCTGTCAGAATGAACCAATTGACTTGTTTTATCTTAAAAATGAGGTACAATTGTAGAAGATTTGTTTGGTAAATATTCGGCCCATTACAGCAATTGGAAAGAACATGTGTTCACATGCATCCTTGTGTGCTCAAATGTATTTATTTAAATCCATTCACAGTACCTTTCTGAAGGTGGATGTTGGGTGGAAACTACTATATAACTCAAATTTATGGCAGTTTGCTTTTGTCTGCTTTGAGCCCACAATCACACACGACATCGTCTAATGCCTCTTCTGTCCAACCAACAGTCCAAAACCCAAAAGATATTAAAGCTACAGTTTTATTAAACAGAGAAAAGCAGCACACAATTCCAGCACAGCTAGTTACATAGCCACAATACTGCAGCATTACGACAGACTTTGTGATGGCTTTTTTGGCCTTAAACAACATTTTAAACATTATTGTCTAAATCTCTGACATATGTAGTTTCTTAGTTATTCTTATATTGCTGCTGGGTATGTAACACTATGAACAAGCATCTTGTCTTGCTCTCAGTGTGATTCCCTGTACAAACATCAGCTGCCCTACAGTGTGGGCTTCATCGTTATCCCTCCATCCTAATCAGACGAACCATTCAACTTCTACCTCTTTATCACATGCACACAAAAGAAACACCCACCTTTAACACAAAGAAATTGATATTTCTATCAAATGTAAGTGCTGTCAATGTCTAAATCAAACAAGTTCTGTCTCCATCAGACTTTAATTCACCAGTGACAGCACAGTGAAATCTCTTATCTAACCACATTCTTCTAGTCCTAAAGGAAGAAGTCACAAGACGAGCTTATAGCAGGAGCAGCAGTTTTCCAATTAACCAGCTGCTAAATAAACTACACATGCTTCCTAATGGCGAAACACTAGCTTCCACTTTAACCAAATTAGTTTGTGACCTGCCCGACAGCCACAAGTCATACATGCTCTTTGATTCAACTGGGCTTTGAAGTATTTATCTCTAACCCTGCTGTAAATTAATATAAAACACTCCTCTGTGTTGTTATACAGCTGAGACTATTTTAAAAGATGAACGTCTGTGTGTTTAAATGTGCTTCTCTCACCTCACCAGGCTGTAACCCAACTTCTCCATGTCTGCTGTGTCAGTGGGGGTTTTCCTGGCCAGGATGCCTCCATGGACAGCAGGATGGAGGGTCTTCACTCTGCCTCCCAGCATCTCCGGATGACCAGTCAGCTCAGACACATCCCTGACACACAGCAGAGAAAGGTTAGAGGAGGACATCAATAAAAAAAAAACACACTGGACAGGATTTAAACTTTTATTGTAATGACCAACTTCAGCACCAACCTGACAGCCAGTCCAGCATCCCGCAGGGCTTTGGCTGTACCACCTGAGGCGACCAGAGAGAGACCCACAGCCACCAGCCTGTTGGCGAAGTCCACCAACCCAGTTTTGTCCGACACACTCAAAAGTGCTGCGAGGACAGATAAAAAAAACTTTCACTCAGTTTTTAAAGACACAAACGAGACAATAAAAAGCTCTGCTGCAGCTACACACCGCTGACCACGTTGGCTAATGTTAGCCGGAGCTAGTTAGCATCCTGCATGTCGCAGTATTAAACTTTATAATGACGACAGTGAATTAATTAAATATAAAAAACTTCTCACCGAGCTCTGAGGAGGCCATGTTCACAGTCACAGTGTTAGTCCGCAGTCTGTCTCTCTGTGTGTGGGTCCGCTGGGTTTCTTGCACAGTACTCACTGAACTGAACAAAAACAGAGATTGTGCAGGCTGAGACACAAAATCTACACGCTTTTCATTGCTTCATCATGTGCTTCAAAACTACAAAGACCCGCCCTGCTGAGGTCGGCCCGCCCCTGGCACACAAACGCACCCAAACGAGACGTACGGCGCAGAGAATGCGCATTTTCATCCGCATAAAGGAAGTGTTCACAAACCGGTTAGGCAACAACAGTGAGTTCAAAAAGAGGAAGAAGAGGAAGAGGAAGAAGGCAACATACAAGCTGTTTGATCAAAACCAAACAATTATAAAACAATTTAGTTAGAAATAAAAGAATCTTATTAAATATATATCTGATTATCCTAAAGCGTGAACCCCAAATGTCTCCATTTAAATCATGACAAGTGAAAAAGTCAAATTAATTAATCAATTTTGTCATGTCTTTAAAGATTTAACTCTTTAACTTTAAGTTAAGTTAACAAATCAACTTAACTCACTTCAGCTGAACTTACTTTTTTCCATCAACAAACAATGAGTGTTTGTTTTAGGGGGCACATTTATATTTGTTGGAGCTTCTTAAACACTCAGAAGCAACTAAAAGCTGAAGATATAGTCTGTTGTTACTGCACTGTTACTTGCACAAGCATCCAGTTTTTCTCTTTTTATGTACAATCCACTGTCAATGGTCCAAGCTCTGCTAAAAAAAAAGTGTCATGTGTCTTCTTTTATTTTGCCACAAGAGGGCAGACATGGACCTTGTTCGTGCACATCTGATTGTTTCTGGTGACATTCGTGCAAGATAATATTTCTATATTTTAGATCCATATTGTTTCTAGACATTAGTTACCATAACTTGGTAATATGTAAAGTTAATACAAGCAGACTGAAAGCGGATTTTCATAGTGAGACCCTTAACAGCAGTGTTTTTTTTATTATATGCTTCTATAATAAGAGTTTTAGAGTATTTTATTTTTTAAATGGTTATCTGCTGCTCTTTGGTTCTCTTATTTATCACTATTTAAAAAAAGCTAATTATAAGCCTAAATTAAACCAATTTTTAAATCAGACTTTTTGTGCATTCTTTATTTTCAGAATCAGCTGATTTAACCTAAAATAAAACTAAAATGTTGGTGTTTTCTTTCGTTTGATGCAGTTTAAATGCTGTTGCTGATCAGCAGAATTGAAGGTTACACTGACACCGCGAACATCTCTATATCCACAATAATTGCTTCAAAAAAAAAAAAAAAAAAAATGGGACATACATTTCCTGCAACAATAAATGACGCTCATGAATACCCCCCCACGCCTTTTCAATAAACTTTATTGGCAAAAAACGGTGGCTTTTTCGTGCTTTAGAACAGCGTTTTAAGTCGGACAGATGTGAATTTATTGGGCCCCGTCACTCACTCCCTGACTCGCCCATTAGTTAAGTGACAGGACAGGGGCCCGGGGAAACCTGCACCCAATACGTGTGATTACGTTAAAAGATCGCACAATCTGTTCATATTTACGTAATGAGAACGACATTTTTGCTGATTGATTAAACTACAGAGTGTAAATATTTTAAAGGGGGGTCTCTGATTTACAATCCAACAAAGCAACAAAAAAAAAAAAAAAAAAAAGAGGCCGATTTATTTGTCTAACTATGAAAATGGGAGTTTCTGGTAACCGCTCTGTGTTTTAGGGGCCGAGCTGACATCTCAAGTAAGGGGGGGTGACTTGAGTGATTCAATAGACAGTGAAACATCTTTATAGAAAGACACAGGCTCACTATGCATTATTAGGTTTAAAAAAGACAGAGGTAGGGGAGGCCGTCAGCACTTTTCTCCCACTGGCTGTTGAGAAAATCTGACAGCATTATCAGCAGTAACTGTAATTTACGCAGGGAATTTTTAATCAACATGACTGGTGTATTCAGATTAAATTAGAGGAGAAACGGAATCAATGACCTCCATATATTGCTCCACTGCCTTATCAATTAGCTGTGATTTTTGTACTGTGTCAGAGGGGCCTGTGTCATAAAACAGCCCAAATGGCATTTGTCATACAGCTGACAAGTCACACAACTAAATGAGCTCCTATTGATTCGCATGATTTTTCATCAGCCAAATTAAAAGCTGCAGTTTGATAGAGGTTCAGTCTGCTGGGTTGTTATGTATTCTATTCTCCCCTATTAAATCAAGCCTAAAAAGTTAAATGAAAAGTCCTTTGAAGGTCTTTATGTTTAACGTGAACCTGGAAGCGTTGATCTGGTGAATTGAACTGGCGATTTTGCTGCATGGGTTTGCAGCTTCATATTAATTATCAACTGTATTGATAGGCTTTAACCAGGTTGGTTAAAGTTGTGCTGTCACATAAACAACTGCATGTTTAGCTGTTTAAGTGCAAACAAAGTTACTCAGCATTTATTATTGTGTGGATCTTAATTTTTCCATCACTCTGTTGCTCTACTTGAGGTTTCTTCATTTAAAAAAAAACCTGTGATAGAGGGTAAATGGGAATTTCAGTTGTTTTGCCACTGAAATATTTTTTTTTAGCATTTATTGCTTCATTTTGATAGATTACAACCCCCATAGTGAATAAACAGGGTCACACATTTTGACAATTGTTGACCAAATCCTGCGTGTAATAACACAAACTGTAGGGTTGAAGTGTGTCTGCAGATCTCACCTGACATTATTTGGTCAACACTGTCATCTATTTCATATAATTGATCCTCAAATGTTACAGTCTGACTAGTCACAAATTTTGATAGCCAACACCAACATCACAGTTTTTAAAATTATGTAAATGTTCTAAATAAATGTTGACCATGTTTGGCAACAAAATATGATAAAGTATGACAAAAAAAAGAAAAACATTTGCAGTGGCAGTGTAGCTGAAATATATTCAGGTCACAGAATAGATACATAATAGTATAAAACTGACTGATAGCATTAAACTGAACTGAGTTAATTTGTATAATATTAATTACATGAGACAACAATGAGACGGAAAGTGGATGACTTTGCATATAAATGTAATTGCATGTTAAATTCAAATGATAGCACATCATTGTATTTGCCCAAACATTCAGAGAGCAAAGCAATCAAACTACTTTTAATGCAGTTTTTCAAAAAGTATATTGACTTAATAATGTGGGTTTGGTGGCCATTCATCTTTAATTAATGTCAGCACCATACATAACCCAATAAAAAAACCTAAATCATAATAAGCGAGTGATATGTGATTCAAATAAAAATTGGACCATTAGGCCTTCTTCTGTTGTAGAGACTTGATGACATGGTGATTAATTGTAGAGATGATTGCTGATACCTTTTTTTTCCGAGCAGAATACACTATTCAATTTACCTATAATCACAACAAAGTCTCCACTAAAACTCCAGTAAGACATTTTATGGGCTTTTTATGCCTTTATTTTGATAGGACAGGTGAAGATAGACAGGAAAGGGGGGAGAGAGAAAGGGGGGACGACAAGCAGCACAGGGCGAAGGTTGTAATCGAATCTGGGCTGCTGTGGCAAGGACTCATCCTACGTGGGGCGCACGCTCCACCAGCTGAGCTACAAGGCGGACAATGTCTGCCCAGCCAGTTAAGAATACATTTAATCACTATATAAACATGGGACTGTGGTCTGAGACGGGGCTTAATGACACCATACTGCGTGTCCTCCAATCTGCTCTTTAATCACAACCCTTACATGGCTCCCAATAAAAACGCCCCGCTGCAGTTATACACACTCATCATGCTGTTGCTCTTGGAAATTAAAATGGGCCTGTGTGACATCACCATCAGGCTTTTGATTGCTTTACTTCCTCTTCATTAACTTAATTATTTGGCTATCAGTAAACCCCACCGAGTAATTAATATCTGAGAGGCTTTGTAATAAATTAAAACTGTGAACTGAGGATAACTTTTGCTTCGCTTTGCTTGCAGTCACAGCGCAGTGACTGTGGGTGAACAGGAAAGAGTTGAAGGAGATGCGAACCCAAAATGTTTTATTTCTCCATTGTGTTGGACTGTTAATGAAAACATGAGCCATTTTACACAGACCTTTGTGGGATTTCTTTATTTTGATCACAACTCTGTCTTGATGCCAATGTCAGTCAGAACACCAGTTTTATTCAGACATTAATGTTCCACAGAGGATGAATCCTACTGACTTTGGTGGTCCTCTGAGTTTCCCTCCAGTGCCACCAGTACGTTGACATTTGTGGTTCTGAGTGATATTTCTCTTGAGGCCTAACTCTCGGATGGACTGCTATGAAATTAAGAGCACACAGTCGTGTTCCCCCCTCGGGATGAATTATAATCTTGTCGGTGAGCTTTGATTTTAGCTCCATCAGACAAGAATATCTTCTGTTTTTGTTTATTACCAAATTTCTTGCAAAAAAAATAAAAAAATAAAAAATGACATTCCTGTCAGGCACAGTTGTACTTGGCATTTAGTGCTAATTAGCAAATATTAGCATGCTAACACACTAAACTAAGACGATGACCATGGTAAATACTATACCTGGTAGACGTCAGCATGTTAGCATTTAGCTCAAAGCCCTGATGTGTTTGTACACCTGGAGATCCACTCTCCAGACATGTATTATGACACATATAAATAGTTTACTTGGAACAATAATGTGTGTCTGATATATTTCTCCTGTAAAATAATGATAATTTCTACATTAAAATTCCGAAAAAGGCATCTACTCCTTATTCAGAATCTGTGAATATGCAAATGCTGTTCATTTAAAGTCCATTCTTAGTGTGTGTGCACAGGAGGCTTCAGGTTTCTACATCACACTTGTTTAAGTTGGACCAGGATTGACTTCCAAACTTTTTGTGATGTTACAAATCACACTTGTAGGTCCCGCCCCTTAAAATCAGATTTTCAGTGAGCTCAAACTTTCCACTTTTAGCAGATAAATGTGAAACCATCCTTTTAGTGCACATACACCATACTGTACATGCACAGTGAGGCTCAAACATCCAACTGTAGAACAAGAAGAGAAACCTATTTTTGAGTGGAGAGGGATTTTAAGTCTTGCGCACAACAACCTCATTCAACTTGTTCAAGAACAAAAAGGGGGTCAGTTTGACTTTGGGGACATTGATCTTATATCTCATTTCTGGCTGCCCTTTGTTATCACTATTTTATTGTTGTTATTTATTAACATTTGATGGGACAAACTAATCAGGAACATTAATCAAATATTCAATTTCTTCAGCTCATTCTTCATTTATTTTTTGCTGTCATTTGTTTTATTTCACAGTTACACCACAAACAAGTTTCAGATAAATGCATGTATGATTCATCTTTGCAATCATTCAAATAAATTAAGTTAATTTACATGTAAGTGACAAGAACAAATTCAGAAACACCATCAAGAACAGAAGAAACATCATTATACACACAAAATGCACAAAAGTAAATGTAATGCATGGGATGTTCTGCAAAGTATTTGCTTCAGTCTCAACAGCACCCAGCTTGTTTTACTTTGACTTCTTTTTGTCTTCATGATGCAGTGGATGCTGCACCTACTGTACATTCTCACGGTGCCTGAACGCACCACAGTTCACTTGTCGTACTTCACATCCTTCATTCTTGTAGTCGTGTGTGTGTGTGTGTGTGTGTGTGTGTGTGTGTGTGTGTGTGTGTGTGTGTTCACTGGGTGGAGCCCCTGCTGTCAGTGGATGAAGCAAAGACAAGGTGACCAGAAGGTGATGACCCATGAAAACAGCTAAATTTAGTGCGGAAATTAGCACCTTTTTTCAGCATGCAACGAAATGTACAGTACTTAGGGATGATTTTATTCACAGATAGTTTATACAGTATATTTGTGTTATAAACCTGTGTGTATCTGTGTGAATAATTAGTGACTCCAACAAATTTCCTGAATGGAACACATAATACTTCACATAACAGACCAGACAAAGTTCTTTAGGTCTGGAAATGTCTTCTCCAGTCCCCACAAACACAGACACGTCCCAGTGTAACTCCTCTGGGTGTCTTTTCACAGTCCCGCTCCGATCTTCCTGTCACCTCCTCCTACTTGCACTCCCTCCAGCTCATCATCAGAGAAAGGGCTGTGGGGATTGTAGCCAACATCAGTGCTGCGCTGCAAGAAGTCCGTGGATCGTGGCATCCCTATGCCGTTACCCATAGCAACAGGAAAACCATGCTGGGTTTCCTCCTCTTCTTCCTCCTCCTCGTCCTCCTCCTCGTCCTCTTCCTCCTCTTCTCCATCCTCCAAATCAAGATCTATTCCTCTGTCGTCTGGGTTCACAGCTTGTCTGCTCTCATCAGATTTGTCTTTGGCTGCTTTCCCTCCGCTGCGTAGTCGCTGTGCTTCAGACTGGGCCGAGGCGGTGGCCTGTTCCTTCGCCTTCCGACTGCGTTTCCACTTCATCCTCCGATTTTGGAACCAGATTTTGACCTGCCGAGATGTGACAGAGCAAAGAAATTGTGTTCAAAAGATGGCCATGTTTAGGAAATATATAGTCCAGAGGGTTTTTTTGTTATTACATCTATCATTTGCAGCAGAAGTCTAGTAGTAGAAGTAATTTTACTACTACTATTTTAAACTACCAGTACATTTTGATATATTTTAGATATTTTCTCGCATTATGTTTGCCAGTCCTGGAAGAAGGATCCCTCCTCGGTTGCTCTTTATGAGGTTCCTTCTTTTTTCCAGTTTTGCCAAAGCTGTTGTGATTGTAATATTTTATGACTTGACATGCCTTTAATAATGCTGCAAAAAATCTTACATCTTAATATTCACTTTTCGATTCACACTAAAGACCAAACAACTACAGAAGTACAAGTACAGAACCTCCAACAAAACAAACAAATTATTTGTAATTCATAAAACTTTCTTTGTTTTTCCTACTTCTTCTGTTTGGGACACAATAAAAGCAACCTGCCTTTAAACAATTAATGTACGAATGAAAAAAGAATTTTGTTGTGGTGTGGATTTGAAAGAAGTTCAAATAAATCATTATTTATGATGAAATATCATAAACAATCAACATCAACATCACCAGAGTTATGAAGGAATGTACAATGAAAATAGAAACACAAAACATAATTTCTTCATCAAATCTTACATACAGACTCTTGAAACAGATTTTATTTTTTTCAGGTAACACATTGACTCCTCCTTGTGAATCTGAGGAGACTTTTTAGCACATCTCAGTCACAGTTTGTTGGGCAATTAATCAGGTTTGAACCAGACACCAGTTTCCCAGAATGAAAATATTAAAATGTAGGCTAACTTTTAATGCGATGGCTCCGACAGTTCTAATGGACTGTTTTTACTTATTTTCAAGGTTTGTTTTTTTGTTGTGTTTTAGGATGAAATATTTTATATAAATACATTTTAAAAATGTATTCAGGATGTTATAATCATATTTCGTTTTAACTCTGACTGCGAGGAATATTTTGGGTTATTTGTCTTATGTTGTTTGTCTGGTACTCATATTTGTTGCTGCATATCTCAGCCAGGACATTGCTTAAAGAGATTTCAGTTAGCTCTCTCAGCTAAATAAAAAAGAATAAAATAAAACCACATGAATGAAAAGTCTTATACCAGCAAGAGTTACTGAATAAATGCGCCTGTTTTTATAGTTACTGAAGTATAAGTCTGTTCAAATCCAGTTATCCTGTTGGATAAATGTGCTCATGGCCTGCAGTTTGTATTCACTTTGAGTCAACATCAGCAGGAATATAATGTCTAATGTTCAGTCTACTTTGTCTTTTTGGAGTATTCATTGCAATGGGTTCTCCCCTCATTCTTGTTTCTGTGAATGACCTTTATTGTTTTCCCTTGAAATGAACCTTTTGGTTTGTGAAGTGCTGGTCTCTCTTACCTGTGTTTCAGTCAGCATGAGTGAGGTGGCCACTTCGAAGCGCTTGGGTCTGGACAGGTACTTGTTGAGCTTAAACTGGTTCTCCAGCTCCAGCAGCTGCTGACTGGTGAAGGCGGTGCGTGGCCTCCGGCACTTCCCTAACAAACCAGACTGAGGGCCCGCTGGAGGAGGAGGAAGAGCAAAGTTTATTTTATGAGAACTTTCATCTTATTTAATTTCAGCCTATAGAGCCTCATTGATCTACTTTTTAGTTGAAGATTTTTATTTAAAAACTAAAACTTTAAAACATGTGGCCTTTTACAGGAGAATCAAGTCTTAAATGTGTCTGAAGTGTTTGGCCAATAACTGCCACTGTCTTATTTATATAATGCCAAGGACATGGGAAGTTCAATGGAATTTTGTGGGTGGGAACAGGCACACATGTGCCCGCACTCTCTGGCCATCATTAACTATAATAGCTTTACTCCAGTTTATTGTTGACGGGGGGACATGGCAGAAGAAGGCGCAGAGGCCATAAAAACACAGGCATGCCATTAACTTAATGAAAATTCAATGAAGGCTTTTGGGATTTTATTGATGAACTACAGAACGTTTTAGGTGTTTGTTTATAGTTTCTTCATCACACAAAGACAATTTTCATCGGGTTGGCGTTTATAGAGGAATAAATGGGCCAAAATTAAAATATGACACACAGATGCGCAGTAAAACTACGCCAGTGTACTGAACGGGACAACGTGTGGCTGTTATTAATGCAAAATAATATATGTAAATCTCCGGTGTTTTGGAGACAATATTATACAAAGCATGTCTTGAAAGACTTTGAAAGACAAAACTAGGTTGTAAATTATAATTATACTGACTGTGTAATTAATTTAGGACAGGGTGCTTTTTTCTGTTTGAATAAAGAAAACTGTGTCTAATCTCGGACATCGTCAAAATATTAATGTTTAATTTAAAAGAAAAAATCTGAATCATAGAAATAAGATTTAGAATTTTTTTTTAGAAAAAAATAAATCGAATAGCCTATAATATAATTTAAATACTAAATCAGCTATAAATATAATGATGAATTGGGCCTATTATCGACCATAATAATAATAATCATCATCAGCATCATCAGCATCACCATCATCATCTAAACAGAACAAGTCGAGCTGTAAAATGAAACTTAACTTCATGTCTTTCATGCCATTATCAGTGAGTGTGTTAAAATGGTTTACGACACTTCAGCGGTTGTTCAGAAATCTACCCGCCTGATTTAATCCTCTCCCTTCCTGTAAACTGATAACGGAAAACAATTGACAATTGACTGAATTCTGTCTGTCCTTGAATTATTTGAAAACAATACAATTGCACCTGTCAATTCTTATTCATTTGGATTTGAAAGTTTTGGTTTTAACGTTTGAATATGTTGGACCTATTATAACAGAATCTTATCCGATCATACTCACAGCTGTAATCTGGCAGTCGAGGCAGCATGATCCCTGCGCGGATCCAGTGCTCCAGGGGCAGAGATCCCGCCATGGCAGCCGCCTTCAGGTGCTCTGGGTAAGTCTGTGTGAGCTGTGTGAAGCCGGTGTATGCGAAGGCGGGGTGCTGCCCACCTAACGCCGATAATGGGTACATGGGTGCAGGATACATGCCGGGAATCGAAGCGAGTCCTGGATGCGGGAGATTTAGGATACCCGGTTTGGGGATTATTCCGGTCTGAAGTTGTGCGGCCCGCGGAGACGGGGTGTCCGCTCGGCGGCAGGAGACCGGGCTGTCTGCGGGGCTGTCGCTGTTCAGACCCGGGGAGAGGTCTCGGCTCCTCCGGTTGGTCTCATCGGCGAGCAGGGCGTCAATTCTGAAGTTTCTCGATTTCTCCATGGCGGCTTCCCTCAGGTGGACTGCAGAGTCTTTTTACAAAAACAAACGCGTCAAGCTTGGCGGGTGCGCACCTGTGCCGTGCGTCAGCGCGCAGACAGCGGAGCCTCTTCCAGTCACAAACTCATATGTTCTCCTTATCTTTTGCACAAAGTTGTATGCTATTCAGAAAAATTACCATTAATACATTATCAGCTTGTATCCTAACGACTCGGCTTATTTCCCTAGAAATACTTTTTTTTTTTTGACAGACTCTAAATCACAGACGCTTGCATGTGCGTCCCTCCATCTATTTCCTTGAATTACACCACGTGTCACTCGGCAACATTGCGTCCGCTCTGGTGTTTAACACTAACTTCACAAACAACAGAGGTATGTGTCTCCACTCCATCAGCCGTCCTTCTCCACCCCTGCAGGCCGGACGGTGTGAGCTGGGATTGGCTGAAGGCTGAGCTGCTCTGACGGGCCTCTAATCAGCTAATTACTCGCTCGTTTCTCCCCCCAGAAAGCATTCAGAGTGAGGTAATGTCCAACCCTTGTCCCGCCTGCAAACACCTTCAACTGCATCAAAGAGCGGAGGTACATTAGAAGATTAGGCAATTGTATTTTCAGTATCTATCTTACTGCCAGCTCCTCACACTCACCACAGATTGCGGCTACCATGCCATAAACAAAGAACTATATACACCGCTTTGATTGTCCGAACTAATTATCAGTGCTGCAAACATCCTCCACACCTCAGCACCAAATATTGGTTGTTTTTCAGCAGTTTTAAGATTATTGGGTACTTCTGATTAAAAAAAAGTGTCCACTCTAGTATTTAAATCATTAATATTAATGGCTTGCTTCATTCTCATACTAAGGCCATAGCAATGCCATTAAATTTAACGATCAAGAACAGCACACAAATCGTATAAAAGTGTAATGACTTGGCAGAAGAGGCTATAAGTTAATTGGCTCTCTGCTTAAGGTGAACTAATGCCAATTTAAGCCTGAAAAGCGGAGGTGCATCAGCTGAAGTGGAGTCTGTCTTATTCTTTTCAACGTGGCTGGAGGTCTGTCAGTTGAATCTGATTTGTGATTTCACTGACAAAAATAAAACCTTGTAAAAAGTAATAGTCTAAAAACCTCGTCTAATTATGCTGCAAACACCGTTTTAGGTAATGCTCCTTCTTTTGAAACCGAATTCATTTTATACTGAGAATCTGCATGTTAGGGCCAACACACTAATTCTCATCACATTTAGGGTTAAACTTTATGTAAAAGGAAAAACTAGACTCTTTAAAGACCTAAACGAAACGTCGTTTTTTTTAGTAAACTTAATGCTGACTAATACCCCTCACCCCAAAAACAAACAAACAAACAAACAAACAGAAAAAGCCTGTTGGCATAATTGTCGTGCAGATTTTAAAGTTTAGTTATAGGCAAAAATGTCATTTATGTCTAAATTCTGTTTCAGAGACTTCTAGTCTGGTGATGAAATGCGGAATCTTTTATTTATTTATGATTTACTTTATTGCTGGCCTAAAATAAAACTGTACATGCTGAGCATAAAACTGCAGACTTGGAAGGGCAACCACCATTTGTACGTTTTTAGTTCTGGGATGTACAAAAAAAGAAATAAAATGGAGGACCTGACCTCAATGTCCTCAGGCCCTGAATGTGCGAGACATCCTCTATTGCATGACTTCATTGTATCACCTGTCCACCACATTACACAACAGAGCTGAAACAATTAAATCACCAAAGAATTAATCAGCAACAATTCTGATAATGCTTTGAGTGGGCTTTAAATGTAAAATGGCACAAATTCAGTGGTTCCATCTTCTTACATGTGAATGTCTATGATACCACCTTGAACTTTAGGAACTTAGATGGGAATCTTTCACCAAATAATTTATAATCATCAGAATTAATTAATATTGAAAATAAGTTTATTGCAGCCATATCAGACAATATTCACCATGATGGTTAAATCATCCTTCTAGAAATGAACGTCTAACCCAGAGATAAATAAAGCTGGTGTTTGGTCTAAAAGATTTTAATTCAATAACTTTTTACCAGTTTTTAAGTTCACGAGCAGCCAAACCCCTGCAGCAGCACACAGCCTGTGCAGATGTGTTAGTTTTAGGTGTCACAGTGTTACAGACTGCAGCCTCCACCCAAACACCTCTAAATCGTGTATCTAAGGGAATTGAAATCCATTCTGCAGATATGAATAAAACAGAATCTGTTCAAACCCCCCCCGCCCCACACACACACACACAACTGGCGTGTGTGTGTGCGCGCGCGCGTGCAGTTGACCTCCAGAAGATTGGAGCGGTCTTGCAGGTCCGCCCACCTCTCTCTCTCTCTCTTCCTCCTTCACCATTGTGGCTCTATGTCTCTCACCCTCGGCTCTCTATCAGGCAGATTACCGCCTGTCTCCGGCGCTGATATAGAGGTAATTTGCTCCAGGGAAATCAGCGCTGCTTTCTGCCTGTTTCTCTCAACCTTTCCCCCCACTGCAAAGCCTCGTTTCCTTTGCTTTTATGATTTGAAAGTAATTTAAATAGCCAGGCCACGGGTAAATCCGTCACCCGGGCCTGTTGACAGAGGTGCACAAATGAAATTGAATCGGTGCCTGAAACTGCGCCAGTGTCAAACGCCTCTGCACACTGTTGTTCTCCTTGAGGAAATCAAATAGTGCTGTGTGTGTGCATGTAAGGTGTGTTAGTCCAATATTAGCCGTTTTTATATTAATTAAATGCATATCATATTAAGGCTACTTAGGTCAGACAACCAACAACATCATCTGTTTGCAGGATGGTGCCCAACTTTAAATAATACAAACTTATAAAGCAAGCAAACAAGTTAGGGAAGTTAGTAAATGAATAAATAATAAACCAGAAGGTTGGAGAGTGCAGATCTCCACCAAAGTGTTCTGTTATAGTGATGTTTGAGGTGGCTGGTTGTTATGTTTAGTTGTATGTCTGGTACACATTCACTTTGATTAGGATGGGTTCATGCATGGTGTTACAACTGACCTATCTTGCAATGTTAACAAAAGTAAAGAAGAAAAACCCAATTTCGTGTTCCCTGGGTTCCTCTTTGGTGTGAGCTACACCCTTCCACCAAGTTTCATAAAAATCAGGCTTGTAGTTTTTCCGTAATCCTGCTGACAGACACACAAACAAACAGAAGGGCAGGGGGTAACAAATAAAAGCTGATTTTTGGATGTTTTTGTGACAAACAATGTGAGCTGCAGGGCCAAACAATTGCGTATAGGCTACAGGCCTAATGCAAAACCAGTCTTAGTTGATACTGAACTTCAGCGTTGATAATTGTGAAACATTTTCAATTCATCAAATTGTAACTCAAATAATGCCAGGAATTTTGGGTGCCCAGGACAGTTGTCCACTTTACCTAGTTAGAAACCCAGCCTCCAGGTCCACTGAGCAAGATAAAACATTTATCTTTCCTACCTTTCTGCGCGGTACAGGTGTAATCCTTTTCCTAGTGAGTCTGCTAGTATAATATAGCCCTAGTCCACGAAGGCCATTTCACTTTGAGATATTTATAGTTTGACATTACAAAGATATCCGAGTCATGTAAGCAGTGACAGTGTCTGTTGGTCCACCACTTGAAATACTGACTGAAATATTTCAACGGCTATTGGATGGATTGCAACTTTTCACTTTTCATTTAGTGCCATCGTCAGATCAAAATGATATTTGTCGCACACTTTGGTTTATACCTGCAAAACTAGATTCACACCAGCCTCAGCTGCACTTAGCTTATGTTAGCATGCTAACAACTAAGATGGTGATTGGTAAACATTATACCGGATAAACATCATTGCATTGCCATTGTGAGTGTGATGTTAGCATGTTGACGTTAGCATTTAGCTCAAAGCACTGTTATGCCTAAGTATAGCCTCACAGTCTTGTTTTCCTTTTACTTCACACACAGGCTACAAATAGCAGAGATAGTAATGTGATCGTATATTGATCCATTAGGGAAAAACCTTTCAGAGGTCAGGGTCAGCTACAATACGACGAGTACAATTTACTGTGTGGCTGACGGGCACTTCAGCAGTGTGGATGATGCTTCCAACTGAGACAGAAAAGCAACAGCAAGATGAATCATCAGATGGATTATCTGATTGCATTGATCTCAGTTAACATTGTATCTGACGACCCTAAACTCTCATTGCCTCCTTTCTCTTTCACTGTCACACATGTCCTCGCATGCACATGCCCTCTTGAACCCTTCGCAGAACTCTCGAGATGCAGCGCACACCCTCCACACCGTGAGAGGACAATTGGTTCAAAGAGGCCGCCGGCCCTTGACGTTGCACTACAAAGCCAGGGTTTATCGACGAGTTATGCGTCAGTGAACTTAGCGGCCAACAGGAGTTTACTGAAACATTAAAGAGCTTATCAGCAATTACAGGCATATTTTTCAATCATTACCACAGCTCTGAGACAGCTTGCCTTGTCCCACAACTAATCCAGGTGCTCTCTGTGTGCTGGCTCAGTCAGCACGTTATTGACTCCCATTGGGTCACTGATCCTTGCTGATTTATTTAACCTACTGATAAGACCCTTCACGCTGTTGATAGATGAGAAAGTTCAGGAGCTGAAATTAAGCAAATAAAGAGCTTCTACAGATTTTTAGTTTGATAACATGCATGATATGACAACAGGTCAACACCATGCAATGGATCATGAAAGATACAGATCCCTGAGTTACTATCATTTATACACTGTTAGGTAGCTACATAGAAGATAATGTTCCAGGTGTGTTGATAAATGCTGGTTCAACGTGCTTTGGTTCTTGTTTGTTTGTGCGTGCACATTCCTGTATCTGTTATTACTTCAGGCTTATTGTGACGCTGTCGATCAGCAGCAGTTTTCCCACCGGGCCTGGAGTACGAGGTCCGGACTGCGGCTGTGATAAATGATACGGGTGCACAATGGGCTTTCTATGAAGTAAAAATCAGCTCTCCATACCACTGGTAATTAGACTAATTCCCACAATGTTAAAGGCA